GTCAAAAGTCATAAAATTCTATTTCACCCATTCAGTCTCATGTACTTTATCTTTTGCTGTGATTCAATTTTCCCAATTAAATTCTGGTATATAATATTCAACTTGTCCCCACAATTAAGTTGGCCATTTTCTTAGTTTTTAAAGTCTTATTTCTGTGTGACTGTATTTAATTTTCCTGGTATAGCGCTCCCTGCAAAATTTCTTGGAGATCTGGTCTGGTGTTGGTAAATTCTCTCAGGTTTTGTTTGCCTGAGAATGTTCTTGTCTTGTCTTCCCATATGAAGGATAATCTTGCCAGGTATGGTATCCATGGTTGCAATTGCTTTTCCCTTAACACTGTGAATATATTTTCCCATTCTTTCCTCATTCGCATTGTTCTGATGAGAGATTCGCTGTCAACCTGATGGGATATCCTTTGTAGGTAACTTGCCGTTTCTCTCTTGCCTATCTTAGTATCTTGTCTTTGTCTGCGGTTTTGTGCAATCTGGCTATAATGTGTCTTGGAGAAGATCTTCTTGGATTGATTCTATTTGGGGACGTTTGTATTTTTGGGACTGGATCTTTGAATGCTTTTCTAGATTTGGAAAGTTTTCTTCCAGGATTTCATGGAATAGATTGTCAATGCCCATATGGGTCTCTAGGGCTTATGTGTATGCATGCCCAAGATTCCAAGAAGAGACCAGGGGATGATTTTTTGCTTTCTGTCTTTCTGGCGAGCACACATGCCCTATAGCATAAATCTCTTTTAATCACAGGGGAACAGCAGATGGCATAGTGGTTAAGGTGCTGGACTCCCACACGGTTGGCCATGGTTTGAGTCCTAGACCTGGTGGCTTGAAACTCACACCAGACACTTGTGCATAAATGCCCAAAATTTCTGGAGAACGGAGGAGAAAGGATTACCCTTGGGTGTGATTTCTTGCTTTTTGTCTCCCTGTATGTCTCTGGCAAGTGCAAAAATCTCTCAAAAAAAAAAAAAAAAAAAAGACTGAATGTGGCATGGTGGTTAAGGTGGCTGGATCCCCCATGGCTGACTCCACAGCAGTTTAAATGCTAGACTTGGAGATTTGGGGAGAAAAAAAAAAAGACTGATGCCAACCTTGCTTTATTTCTCTTTGTTATTTTGGCTGGGGAAAGCTGTTTACCTGAAAGATTCTTTATTTTAAAGGTCTAATCATTTTACTAAGGTATATTTTGGAATTGACTATTTTGTGTCAACTTTCCCAGGTATAAAACATGCCTTTGCAGTATATACACTAAGATCTTCTTTTATTTCTGGGAAGGTTATTGAAATTGTAATTTTAAATATTCTTCAATTCCAAAGTTAATCTGCTAATTTGGAGTCTCAATTTATAATAAACTGAATCTCCTTGGCCAGTCTTCTTTCTTTCTCTATAGCTCTTTTATCTCATTCTTTTGTTTCTTTTATTTCTTTTGCTTTTCTGGTTTGTATCCTTTAAGTTTCCTATCATGATTTGTGTATGCTCCATTTTCCTTGGAAATCTTTCTGATTTAGTCTTCATTAAAAAAATGCCTTTCCCTTCCATTTCATTCAGACTTTTCTCATTTCCTATTTAACTTATTTTTGTAGTCAAGATTCATATTCTCTGAGTTGGTTTTTATATCCTCTGTAATACACTTTCACAAACTTAATTGTTCTATCAGATGTTTGAAAGTCATGAAGACCTATTGTATTGAAATATTTCTCGAGAGAGAGAATTTCTTCATAAGTCCTTTCAAATGAAAATATTGAACTTTTTGGGCTTTATTGAAAATATTATTTATCTGCAGGTCCAACAATTATGTCACTGATTTTATTTATATTTCAATTATTTTCTTTCCTTTCTTTCTTTTGGGGGGGGAAGGGGAGAGGGTGGTGAGAGAATTAGCAAGATAGGGGTAACTTGTCCATATTCTCAGTTCAAGAACTCCTTTCTCTGTTACTACAGTGATGGACATTGCTTTAAAACAGAGATTTCTCAGTAGAGCTTCTTCACCTTTCCTGTTCACCCTGTCCAGCTTATAGCTTCTCATGTTATATCATATTATACCTAAAGGTTAGATTCTCTCTTTCTAGGCATGAATACTAGCTGAGGATTTCTAGAGTCTGGCATTCCCCATTGTTCCCTGCTGTATGACCTACTTTTCTGCATGACTTCTGATCAGTGTGTTTGCTTCCACTCACTTTCAAGTGAGATTTTTTTTTCTTTAGGCATTTTTTAGTTTCGTTGTTTTAGAATTGTGTGATGTCTCTGTCTCCCAGTTTCACTGAAAATGCACATTTCTGGACTTTCCTCTGCTTTATCATTTGCATGGTTCTTAGTGCAGAAATGGAAAATGTAGGTTCTACATGATCACTGCTCAGTCTCAAATAAGTAACTTAAACACGAATTGTTCCACAACATCCCTTTCTTTTTAAAGTTTCTTTCATTCTTTCTGCCTTTCATGAGAAAGAGAGACGGGGGTGGGGGGGGTGTGGAAACCTCCACCAATAGAGCCATCATGTTTCAATTCAACCCACCTTCAGCCAGCCTGGTTCACAGGCACATGCCCAGTGTTTACAGAAAAGCCCAAAGATGTGGACCTGGGACCTTTTATATGAATTCAGCATGGCGGAGTGTTGTGTTACCGCTGTGCCCCTGGAAGGCCCTCCTTTTCTTAACATAGTTCCCTTTAAATTCTTTTTATTCTTTCTTGGCAATTTTGCCTATTTTAAAAATTATACAGGGAGCTTCTGAAAAATCTTATCTCTTATTTGGTAAAATAAAATTTTACAACATTCCCCTTTCACTGAGTTCTTAAAGCCATCAACACCGATCAATAGTTAACACTCCATCCAGTTCAAGGGAATTTATGCAGATACAATATACAGACTATACTTCCACTCTGTAGTAAAGAGACAGTCAAGGGGCTTGTACATAGTGAGAAGAATGATAAATAAATGTTTGCAGAATGACTTAAATTACATTGACCTATGTAAATTTCCATTTGTCTAGAAGAGGAAGTTCAGGTAAGGAAGGAAAGTCATAGAGAGTAGAAAAGGAAGCAGAAATATGAATCACTAGGTTAAATTTAAACACATCTTTCTTTATTTGTCAAGATATTATTACAACTCCTACTGGAAGACAAAATATATCATAGAATCGGTAGATAATGCAGGAACATAAGGATTTTTAGTTCAACTACTTATGGAAAAAAGTTTGTAGGCAAAATATCATGTAAATTTGGGCAGGGACGACCGTTTCCCTGTAGGACCAGTGAAGTCCTATGTAATAGGTGCCATCTGTGTGGAAATGTGTGTATTTTACAAATTTGAGATGGAAAGAAAAGTCATCCACATATAATTGCCTCAGTCATTAGGGGGAATATTATCTCTTTACTCCAGATGTTTCCTTCCATACGAAGGCTTTTTCCATTGACTAGTAACCCTGGATCTTTGTACAACTTTATTGGAGTGACTTATATAATTGCTGAATTTGTGGCCTCAGTTCCTCACTTCTCTTCAGGAATCTAGTGGATGTCAGGAATCATTTACTCTGCTCTATTATTTCAAGTTTTACTTTTCATCGTGGTAGGCTCTTCCTCTGTAGGAGAAACCTCTAATTGTGTAGCTGAGCCTGTAAAAGGGAAAATATGTTTAATTTCAGAAGACGATTAAATGACTCACTAAGTGAATACAGTGAAGAGATGTTCTCCAAGCATTATTTTTTAAGTTTATTTTATTTATTTCTTCAAAATGTTATGAGAGAGTCATCAGCAATGGGGCTTTTATGCCACAGTCTCCTCAAGCCCAAGCCCAAGCCCGCTAAGGTATGGACACACCCGTGCACCCTTCTGTGTAGAGGGCCAGCTCAGGATGCTGATACAGTTGCTTTCTCTGTGGCTTCAGCATTGCAGGGTGACACGTTAGTTCTGTGCCACCCTCCCTGGTCCACTGCCTAGTCCCTTTTAGCAACAAGGTAGGTGTTTTGTTTCCACCAGACTAACAGACTCCATACCCAACCCAGTTGTTTTCACACATGGAAGTGGAACAGGATTTTCATGTATTGGCTCTGCTCAAGCATGACATCACTGCCTGCTCAAATGCTTTCAGTGGCTACTTATAACTTAGAGAATAAAGTGCCAAGTCCTTTAATTTTCATTCTAAGCTCCCCCAAGTTTGGTCCTCAGTTCCCTTTCCTGCTTTATCTCCTTCTGCTGTCTCTTTTATACCTCCAGATCAAAACTCTTGTTTGCCATCTCTGCACCTCTCCAAGGTTTCCTACTTCTTGGTCTTTGATCAAGAATTTGCCTCAATATATTATCCACATCCATTTAAAGCACAACTGTGGCCCAAAGAGCCTTCCTACTCTGCCACAGTCTGCTTATATCAGAGATTCTGAGGGTATTTGTGTGTATACCTTCAACCAAATATTCCACAAACTAGAGATTTTGATTTCTTCATTATTGTTTCACTGACATCTTGAAGAATAGTTTGTATATACTGGGACTTTATTCAATTGTTTGATTGTTGAATTGGTTTCTGGGAGACTAGCTAATAAGTAATTGAATTTTCAGAATATTGATTATTGGAAATGGTGGATCAGAACTGGTATAATCTTAGGTCTGAGAATCATTAAAAGAAAGTTGAATGGGTGGAGAATTCTGAAAAAAATATTTATAATATTTAAATTTAGACAGTATGTCCATTCCATTAGACTGAAAATTTTCTGAACTTAAGAATGACCACAGTCCTTATTTACCTAGCTCTGTACTATGTCCAAATATTGTACTATATTACACTATTGAGAAATCACACAAATAAATCTCTTAATTTCTTTAAACTGTGTCTGTCCTACTTTTCAGCATAGTGGATTTGCTAGATTTCAATAAACATTCATTGATTACATAGGGGGTCAACATGTTGTCATTCTTTCTTCTTCTTTACAGTTCAGAAGGTAGCATACTGGCCAATCATCTAAACAAAAATATTTTACAGAGTTTTAATGGGATCTTTCCCTCTGACCTCTGGGCTCATGGAAAGAGGAAACCAGACCAGCATCTTTGAGTTTTCCCTCTGGGGACTCTCAGAGAAGCCAGAGCAGCAGCATATCCTCTTCCTGCTGTTCCTGTGGATGTACGTGGTCACTGTGACTGGGAACCTGCTCATTGTCCTGGCCATTGGCACTGACACACGTCTCCACACCCCCATGTACTTCTTCCTTGCCAGTCTGTCAAGTACAGAGATTCTATTCACCTGCACGGTTGTACCCAAGGCCCTGGTGAACATCCAGACCCAGAGCAGATCCATCTCCTATGCAGGATGCCTGACTCAACTTTACTTCTTCTTGACTTTTGGAGACATGGACATCTTTCTTCTGGCCACGATGGCTTATGATCGCTATGTGGCCATTTGCCACCCTCTCCACTACAGGATGATCATGAGCTTCCAGCGCTGTACCCTTATAGTGACTGCCTGCTGGATTCTGACTAATCTCGATGCCATGACCCACACCTTCCTCATGTTCCGCCTTTCCTTCTGTTCTAAGAAGATCATTCCTGACTTCTTCTGTGATCTGGGTCCCTTGATGAAAGTGTCTTGCTCTGATACCCAGGTCAATGAGCTTGTGCTCCTTTTCTTGGGAGGATCAGTCATTTTAATCCCCTTTATGCTCATCCTGGTCTCATATATCTTCATAGTGTCAACCATTCTCAGAGTTCCCTCTGCCCAGGGAAGGCTCAAAGCCTTCTCTACCTGTGGTTCTCACCTTGCTGTTGTTGTCCTGTTCTTTGGGACAGTGATCAGGGCTTATCTATGCCCCTCATCATCTTCCTCCAACTCATTAGAGGAGGACACAGCAGCTGCTGTCATGTACACAGTGGTGACTCCCCTCTTGAACCCTTTCATTTACAGCCTGCGGAACAAGGACATGAAGGGTGCACTGGCCAGACTCCTCAGGGGCAGAGTCTTCTTCTCATGGGGCCAGTGATTTCTGCAGAGAAACTGAAGATATATTCTGCCCCCATGTGGGACTTTATAGAAACATCTACCTCACGTATTTCATATCTGAATTCCATGGTCTTATCTCCAGTTCCTGACTTGTCACCATGAGTTTGGTATTAATGAGGAAAATCAAGATTTTGCTTTGTACTTGAAAGTTTATCTGTTAAGAAATGTTTATTTGCTCATTTATTTTACTCATTAATAATTTTTCATAAGGAGAGATGTCTTTTGCAATATGCACAATTCTGAAAGTCTGGAGGGTTTTGCCAGTTTATTAAAATTTGATAAGTGAGGTCATGGAAACTTAGCTAGTAAGGTCGCTATAGATAGCAAAGCATTTACAACTTTAAAGGAACAAGTGTATTTTTTTCCTACAAAAATTAGTAAATAATATGAACTTTTTTGCCTAAAATCATGTCAAAAATATTTGCAGCTATTAATACAGGAGTGATCTGTTATTTTTTGTAAAAATGATTTATTTTTAAATTTTCAATAAGAATATATAATAAATTTAAGTTAAATAGTAGAATAACTACTTTGTAGCTATTCTCTAACCTCTGCTCTTATCTGCTTACATCATGGCTAATTGTGAATGTTGTGTATGTGTATCTACCTGTATCCCATGCAGGTCTTGTGATTCAGCTAGGGCTCAAGTCATCTTGAGGAGATTGGCAAAGATGTTGACATAACACACACACATTTTACTTCCTTGTGCTGAATAGCCCTCCACTGTTCCTGACAAGTATGAGGCAGTCAGTGGTAGTGACGTATTTCAGGAGGCAAGTGATACCTTCAAAAGATATGGTCAAATAAAATAAGGAGGTATGGATAGTCTGTGTTCAGTATAATCCATGCTTTAGTCACTCAGATCCATTTATAAAATTTTATACAATTTCTAAGTTATACAGTGGCACTGCTATTTGCTGTTGTAAAAATAAGTTCAGCCTAATTGTTTTCCAAATAGGATGGATATTTGTCCCATAGTTCAGAATTCCTTTTAAGGTGGTGGCTATTTATAGGCTGAAAAGATTTAAGTACATTTGTAGTTAGACAAGATATAGTTTCTGCTACTGTAGGTCGTTCCAAGGATATAGCTGAACTCTACTGTCCATTCTAGATATCCTTCACCTAGATTTTCACTTTGTCAGTATTTGTTTTGGTTTTAAGCTTATTTACTTACTTATTTATTTATTTAGTGAGAGAGAAATGCAGCAGAAAAAGCCATGCATTCCAAATAGGGTTTCATCCCATGATTGGTCACTCCCTCAATCTTTACCAACCAGCGAAGATCATGGGTGTGCACATGATTACTTAATGCAGGCAGATTGACCCAGGAATAAAACCCTGGCTTTCCATATGGCTTCTGGTATTGCAGAATGCTGTGTTACCACTACTCTATTGGAGCTGGGCCTGGCAGGTCTTTGTTGGTGCCTGATACAATAACTGAGACATTCATCCATGAAGGACTTGAATTCTTGTTTATTGTGCTCTTTCTCTGTAAGAGTGACTAAAATTTCACCTCAACATTTATTACTGTTCATGTGGAAGTATTAAGAGATATCCAAGTGCAGACCAGCAGGTGGTGTAATGTTTATATCACTGGACTCCCACGTAGTTGAATGCAGTTTGAGTCCCAGATATGGTGGTTTGAAAGTCACGCCAGGCACGTGTGCATGTGTGCCCAAGATCCCAAGAGGAGAATGGAGGAGAAGGGATTGCAGCGTGACCAGCACCCCTGTGGGCCCATTTCTCGCTTTCTGTCTCTGTCATTCTCTGTCTGTCTGGCGAGTGCGTGCGCCCTACAGCAAAAACCTCTTAAAAAAAAGAAAGATATATACACTTCACTTGAATGGGCAATATGATTTAAAAAATAGCAGAATGTGATAAATTATGAATATATAAGGTAATACTCTGAGGAACCACTAAAATCCTTGAAACTCATGTCGGGCACATGTGCATGTGTGACCACAATCCTGAGTGGAGAGAACGGAGGGGAAGGGATTATGGTGTGATCATCCCTCTTGGGGATGATTTCTCACTCTCTCTCTCTCTGTCTCTTTCTGGTGAGCACATGTACCCTATGGCAAAAACCTACTAAACAAAAACAAATGCAAACAAACAAACAAAAATTTGTTTTACACTCTTATACTATATTTTGCTATTTGTCCAAAATTTAGTGGGGGGCACCAGCAGTTAGTGTAATGGCTATGTTGCTGGACTCCCATGTAGTCAGCCGCGGTTCGAGTCCTGGATCTGGTGGCTTAAAACTCACACTGGGCGTATGTGCGTGTGTGCCCAAGATCCTGAGAGGAGAATGGAGGAGAAAGGATCACGGCATGGCCATCCCCCTTCGCGCGTGATTTCTCACTTTCTGTCTCTCTCTTTCTCTTTCTGTCTTTCTGGCAAGCGCATGTGCCCTATAGCAAAAAAACTTCTCCCACCCTCCCAAAAAACTTCAGTGGGCATTATGATCATTGATTCCTATTATTAAATAGTAATTTTTGTATGTTGGGAGCCTATCTCTGGTTTTCTTTTCAGTGGTATAGAAATGTCCATCAATTTCAAAATTCAAAAAATGTATGGAAAATTTTACACCATTTCCAGGAACAGCAAGGAATAATTATGGGAGACAATTTCTGTTCTTAAGGATTTGATTGTTTTGAAATGTATTAGATCAAACTTGCTTATGTATATTTCTGTTCAATGTCAAACCCATTCTTGGGGTAGTGTCAGTAACTATTATAGAATCCATATAAACTTTGAGTTTTGTTTATGTTCAAAACACTGATTATTCTGTTCAGCTTTATTGTTCAGTTTCCTGGGTCTTTTACTTATTAGCACATTTGAAAACCTCTCTTATCAAAATTATGTTTCTTTTTCTTGGCTGGTGGATGATTTGACAATGTCATTTTTTTTTCTTTTGTTTAATTTCATTTTATTTTATATGAAATTCCTCAAAAATCTACAAATAGAACTACTATATGATTCAGCAATCCCATTCCCTGGTATCTACCCAAAGGACAGAAGAATTCTTCATCGGAAAAGTGCTTGCAACATTATTTTTCATCTGTCAAATTTTATCTGTAAGCAAATTTAATCATGCATATTTGTTACAGATTTTGGAATATTTGACAATAAACATCCTCAAGAAAAATAAAGTATAAATCTGGGGAAATAAAAGAAAACTGCATTTCCTTTAATGCAGTAAATTTGTTAAAGACAATAGCCAATACACATTTTTAATTAAAAATTTAAAAAAGTTTCCTGAACAATGACTTTTCATGTTTTCCACACTTCAGAGGGTGATTCCCTTCACCCACTGAAGACATCCTTATTTTTAAAAATTATTTAATGTTACTGCTGTTATTATTTTAAGTTTGCTGTGGGGCATGTGTGCTCACGAGAGAGACAGAAACAGAGACAGAGAGAGAACATGAGAAAGCAAGCCACCAGGTCAAGACTTGAACCATGGTTGGCCATGTGGGAGCGTACAGCACCTTAACCACCATGCCACCTGCTGGCCCTACAATATGTCTTATAATGAGTCTTCATTTAAGATTTAAAAGGGAAGACCCCTTGTTTAAGTTGGGGAAAGTTTACATATACTGACATAGCCCCTCCTCCCCCCCCAGAGGTCCACACAAAGATTCTCTTGCCTCGGGCCAGGCGTGAGGTATATATTCAGGTGGCCGGATCCCACATGGCTGCCCGTGACGTTCATGTTCTGGGCTTGATGACTGGAGAAACACACCAGGCACATGCAATAGAAGCGCATGTGGTGCAGGAAGGATTTCCTCTGTAAGTCAATTTAAAGTAATTTTCTTTTCAAAGATACATTTAATTTCTTTACATTCATTAGCATTCATTGACATGAGTGATATTTAGATGAGGTTTGTCATAATATTTTACGTCCTTTAGTATGTAGTCTGTAGTTCCCTCTCTCTGATTGTAGAAAATGTTCTATTATGATAATACATCAATATAACATTATTAATTTCCTTTCTAGACAGCATTTTTTTTTCTCTAAACAAAAAAAGTAACTGGTAACCTTTATTCCCTCCTCTCTCTTTTTCACTATCCAATGTTGCTGTTTTATCTTTAATATTGGGTCATTGGAAAAGTCATGATGTAGTTTTACATAGAAAAACACAGGAAAAATACATTATGACTTTTCTGACAACCCAATATTATATTTCTTAGTTTGTCTTTGTCTCTTAAATAGTCTAGGCCTATTTGATTTATCTTCTTTATATGCCTTTAACCAAAATGTTTCTAAGAGATAATCAGGAATTTATTACACTTCATCCTTTCTCCTTCTCCCATGTGTTGGTTATGTTCCCATTTTAACTGTTATTTTCTTCCTTCCTTCCTTCCTTTCTTTCTTTCTTTCTTTCTTTCTTTCTTTCTTTCTTTCTTTCTTTCTTTCTCTCTCTC